CTCGTTTCTCAGAGCAGGAGGTGTGTATGTGTTTCCGTGTGGACACTTTCTCGCTCAAGATGGTGTTTCCACATGTAGCTCTTGCTGTTCATGTCTCTAGCCACTCCGTTGGCAATGAAAAGAAATAAGGAATATTAATCTACACCATCGAGTATATACGTCCTATAGTTATCTTGTGAAGAGCGTTGTACGATCATGTTGAAAATGACGTTTTACAAATCTGATCATATGCCAACGATTGGACATAAAAACACCTTCTGGTTGACTTGTGTCCAAAAAATTAGTCTAATTCCTAGATTAGTTGTTTATTAATAGGGAGTAGTTGAAATAGAAAATCACACCACTCAGACAAATGTATTACAAATGACTATGTTATCAATGTACATGCACTCAATGAATAGTCACGACCTGAAAAACGAAAACGTGCACGCCCAGCAGATCCAAAAAAGTGAGATTTTGTTTTTTCCACTCTTTGCGCTACTTTGTTCTCCATAGTGCCTCCATCGCCTTTGTCTCACGATCACCCACAGTATCATTCCCTGCACACAGTCGGGGCTATCACTCTCATCCGACATACATCTATAGACATTTCATGTGTGTTGCACTATATGTAATGACCAGCCAGCCAACACTAATCCGCAATCTTATAGCATTCATAGGTTCTCCCTGCACTTGGATCCAGCTAACCCACTATTAGTTTATTGTCAGACTACTATGATACCAGATGAGTTTGCCGTCGAATCCTGAGATATAGCGACTGCTGCGAGGGACTCTCCCTCATTCATTGAAAAAAGCCTTTATCTCTTGCGAATCTAAACCATTATTTGTATTTATAAATCTCTGATGCACTGGCTCATTTAGTTCTCGGAGCCATTCCCAAGCACCAGGTATCCCCAAAACTAAAACATTTACAATGTTGACTGGTTTGTTCTACAAATAAGCACTAAGTGATGAGTTTATCTATAGAACCCTGACATCAGGCATGAGATGTCACATCTCCTTCGGCGCCTCCCATACCCAAAGATATGTAACTAGTATTGGAGCATGTTTGAGTGGAAGGCTCTTGTCGGGAGCATCCCGGAATCACCAGCCAGGAAGACTGTATAGGCCCCCGCGCTATGAGCAAGTCAAGCGCCAACTATACGTATATCTCCCTCAACTCAAACGGTCGAGAGGAATGTTTCGAGAATCTCCCGATCCTCTACAGCCCCTGAAGTATTCCCTTGCACTGCTTAGTCCTCAGCCGGCGTGTAACACCACAGTCACTCTTTCTCCTCATCGACACCACACCGTTCCTCCAACCCGACTCACTCCTGAGTGTCTGTTTCTCTCAGCAGCTCTTTCATCTGCTTGAGGCTTGCCCTCCATCACTAATGCTTCAGAGATTGTGGGTTCCTCAAGTCGTATTGATGATTATTTCCCAGAACCTTTTGCTCCTACCATTCACAATTTCCGGATATTAGTGATGGGCTCCGCAGCCCTTCTCTGAAAGAGTGAAAGTGGAATACTGGTATCCCGCATTTAGTTAGCTTATCGGTTGTTTTGTTCAGACTTCCATCCGACCTTTTTCACAGCCAACCATTGATCATGAAACATAGTAGGTAAACAAAAGGTTTTACCAGTGATAAATAATTAATAGGTTGACTCTGTTAGAACGGAGCCTTTATTAGTATGCATCGGTTACACCTGTTAGCTCACTATTTCAATGCAAAATGGCCTGCTGTGGAAAAGGATCCTATTAACGGACATTTTCCTATAGGTTACAGAATATTCATATCTGGAAAATACGCATGATCCGCTGCTTAATTGGCAGTTGTTCTGAGACTTACAATTCGCAGAATCGAATACCCGACTCTCAATACCATATATTGTCCAACTAATGAAAGGTGGAGCCAGCAGCAACTTAGTTGAGCATAGACTGAAGCGCTCATATGACTTTGTGCAGAATCTTAATCTTTGTAAAGTAAATTGTAACTAAAGCTGCAAATAGTACATCTATAATAAAAATAATAATATACGCGCTAAATGTAGTAGACTAAAAGAATTTGTATTTAAGGGTCCAGTGTGTAACATTTAGAAGGATCTATTGGCAGAAATGGAATATAATATGCATAACTATGCTTTTATTAGTGTATAATCACCTGAATATAGGAATTGTTATGTTTTTGAATGAGCCTTTTATATGTACAGATATCTTTGGTCACCTTGCATTGAGTCCACCATGCTGAAACAGTACAGTAGCTTAAAAGGGACAAACTAAATACTGACCCTAGATAGGCATTCGTGTATTTCATGTTCTGTGTGTATTTCTTGTTTTTCATGTTTTTTGTGGTCACCATAGTTTCCTTGTAACTTCACAACTAGATGCCATTAAGTCCTACACACTGGACCTTTTAACAGCCAAAATATGCAAAAGATTATGATGAACTCACGTCTCATGAGAGATCTATGTTTCTTCATTCTTATAAACCTCTGCCGAGCCCTCTCCTCCACTCTCCTCTTCTCCTCTGCAGTCGCCTGTAAAATGTTTTCCTGCATTTCAAACACTCTGTTTCCATTTTCTGTAACAAGTTTCTGTATCTTCTCCAGCAACTTTGTGACTTCAGTATCATCACTCAAGACAACAGTGTGACACCTCTGACTGCATTTCTCAGTGAGCCAGCGGAGGGCCTCTCCCCCCATCTGTACGAGCTCTTTTTCTTCTGTGTGTTTAGACCTGTCAGCAGAGATGAAGACCACCATGCAGTGACTCCACACCCCCTCACCCAGCAGGGCCACGTGCTCCTCCACGGCCCTGCGACGCTTCTCTGAGAAGGCTGAGCTGGCCTTGATTGTAATCAGGAATACATGTGGGCCCGGCAAGCACAGAGAGACGCTGCTTACAATCTCCCTCTTCACCAGCTCAGATGTGTCCTGAGCACTGAAGTCGCACCACCAGCCGGGGGTGTCCACCACTGTGAGCCACTGTCCGGCCACCACACCCAGCCTGCGGGAGCAAGAGGTCCTCTCTTTGGTGACAAACTCCTCTTTGCCCAAGATTAAGTTCCCCACAGAACTCTTTCCAGAGTTTCTGCCACCAAGTAAGATAATCTTTAACTGTGCTGTACAGCAGCCGTCCCCTGACAAAAACAATGACATACACACACAGAGGATAAAAGACAGAAATAAGCCCGAGACGGGTTAATATTAAAGCTACGCTAAGAAATAATTGAGAAATTAAGATAAATTGATAATGAAATAAATTCACAATCCTAAAAATCTACCCCCAAAATGACATAAAACTACAAAAAAAAGTTAGCTAATCAATGCAAAAACAATAAAAAAAAATAACAATATGTACAAAAATATGTAGTATGGTATGTAGTATGTACTCTTAGAGATAAGATACTAAGAAGACATTTAAACTGATAACTATTATATAATTATTACAAAGTAGGAAGCTGTTTGCATTTTCACAACAACACCTTTCAAATTAAAAATCAATACATGATCCTGGATGTAATGTGGTTGTTATGAGAGAAGAAGAATCAAAACTTACATGCTGACAGCTTGCTGGTTGCCATCTCACATTCATCTATAAGCAACTAGATTTTAAAACATTTATTCACATGTCGAATCCGTGTTTTCCGTGTTCTTTCTGAATAACGAGTGATAGCAGAAGTTTGTGTTTTATGTGTTTATGAGTCTGAAGGTTGTCTTTAATGAGTAATCAGACACATGCAGTGTAGACAGTAAGAACCACACCTCTCAGCAGCGGGTCGAAAGTCCACTCTGGAGAGAAACAGAAGAGTGTGTGAAGCATTTATACTGGACATTGAATTCCGACAGAAATAAGCACAAAACATGGTGAATAATGATCACTGAGCTTTTGTGGCACCCAGTAGAGGTGTGAAGTTCAATGGAAATATTGCACTTTTTGTGTATTTTAGTGCTATATAGAATCTAAATTATCTTTACTATTAATGACAACTCTGATAGCTGCTTCATGTTACATATTTCAGTTAGCATTAGCCCTTCATGTAAGAGGTTGAGACAAGTGTCTTATATGTTATTTTCAAATTGAGTGACGATTCCTCCGGTCTGATTCCTACATAATTACATATTTTTATCATTGAATTGTACATAGTTTTTCAAATTTGTCAGGGACATATGAGGGCATGTTCACCAAACAGTTAAACATAAAGCATAGTCTCTGTTCTCTGTCTCAACAATACTAATATTCTGTAACGTATTAATTATATGCTGAGTGTCATAAGTGCATGTTCATGCATTGAACCTGGGACCTTTGGGGCCCTTTAGGGTGTGTGGCGAATTCTGGATAATGCAATTTACACTTTAATGCTACTTCGGTCACATGATGACCATCTTTAGATAAGTTCCTGAAATCCCATCATTTCCATCACGGAACAAATTGAGTTCACATGTCAGGTGTGACCTCCCCAGTGGTCTGTGCCCCTAAGCAGTTCTTCCTCATTGTTCAAAGGGTTTCGCCCACAGGGTTTAATCATTGAAGTGTAGATAGCCTAGAAAGCCAGGCAGTGGTAGGATGTGACTCATCCTTTACTGAAGCATTTTACTATTTTAATTTTACTTTGCTTTAGCATTTTCATTTTCAGTTTCTTTATACTCCAATTCATTTCAGGAAGAAATATTGTGTGTTTTATGCCACTACATTTATTTAAGAGCTATAATAGTTGATGATCATTTCATAAAATATGATCAACTAACCCAACAGTATAAAAAAGTTAAACATTAAAATGTTGCTTTCATGTTACGCATCAATAATAATCCAATAATAATAATAATATAACTCAGTAGAAGCCATTCCTCTGCTGCACAATGAGTACTTTTACTTTTAATACATTTAGTTTTAATGTTTTATTTTGAATACTGGACGGCTTGTAATGGAGTATGTTTACTAGGCTTATACTTATTCCACCACTCTTATGTGGCCCAAATGTTATTATGCTGAAATGTGTAAAGTTAGAATAAGAGAATAAAACTCATGGTTTGCAGTGATGCCTTTCAAAATAATATATTTAAGGAGACCCATTATTTTTACTCTTAGAAACAAACAAACACGAAGTTTAAATGAATTAAAATGTGTTTTCGGGAATAATTATAAAACATCTTTAAAATAATGTGCTTTTCACTGCCAGTAACTACCAAATATAGGCTGTACTTGAAGTATCAAAGTAAAAGTAGCCCACTAAAACGTTACTTGAGTAAATATACTTAGTTACATAAATCAGTTTCTCGTGTGAAAAGGTTTTATTCTTCCACTGCCTCCCTTTGGTGTCGGTCTGTCAGCTGTCTTCACGGAAGTCTCCGAGTTTAAGCTCCGCCCCTTTCCGCTACTTAGTGATACGCAACGAGCGCTCCTCCGCACAGCTGACAGTCGGTCAACAACAGCAGCAGCAGCAGCAGCAACAGCAGCAGCAGCAGCAACAGCAACAATGGGGGTGACAATTAAAGTGGAATACTGGTAAATACATGTTTTCTGATACTGGTTTTAATCCGTGTAAGCTCTCAGCTAACTGCTTGTGTCGGGTCTCCTGTATGAAGAGAGCTTAGCATCATTAGCTCGCAGCTAAGCTAAGCCTGTTGACTTTGCAGCACTGATTGAAAGATACCTTAACGCCTTGGGATGTGTTTGTTTTTTCTCCTCCATGTAGCGGCGGATGAGGTTACGGACCCCGCTATCAGGAGCTCGCCCACGCTGTGAAGGCTGAGTTTCCCGATGCGGTTCTGTCAGGCTTCGTGGGCAGACAAGGTAATTCATATCTGAGCTGAACTCTCACCCACAGTTTGTCTGTGTCCGATCTGATTAATGTGACTGTATCTGTCCACCAAAAGAGGGGTAAAGGTCATGTTCTTATCTTTTTTTTTTTGTGTATTTCATAGGCAGCTTTGAGATTGAACTCAACGGGCAGCTGGTCTTTTCCAAGCTGGAGACGGGTGGTTTCCCATATGAGGATGATGTAAGTAACAAACAACTGCTCCATTAAATGTAAATCAGAGCTTCTGATTTGTGCACCACTTCCTCCTTGTCCAAAGGGTTTCGCCCTGCAGCGGTCTAAGTGTAGAGCTCAACAGAGCTCATTGTTAAGACACACAGAAAGGGAGGCAGTGGTAGGACGTGACTCGTGCATTTCCTGAAGCACATCACTTAATTAATTTTACGTTACTTTGCTTTAGTGTTTTCATTTTCTGTTTCTCTCTACTCCACAGCCTCTGATTTGTGCTTTTCTCTCTCCCCCTGTCGCAGGTCTTGAATGCAGTCCAGCTTGCACACGACGGGAAACCTGTGCCGAAGATCACCAAGAGCCGTGCACCGTGCGTCATCATGTAAACCTTCCTCTTCCGTTCTGCTTCAACATCAGCAGCGTCAAGACGGGCCAGTGCGACTGTATACTGCCAATGCCACCTCTGGTCCGGCCCCGCTATGCTTCAGCAGCAGGCTGGGTTGAGGACCTTGCTTTATACAAACCCAGCAGAGATGCACTATGACCACTAGCTGCTTTGTTTGATGCAGCTCTTCCCTCTGGCTCCCCTCTCTTGTTCTCATTGTGGTGCTCCAGGCTGTTAATGATTACTGTAACCTAAAAGGTTAAAGGTTATGGTATGATGAATCCATTCCTGGCTGTGCCCTCCTTATGGGAACTGAGATTGGGAGAAGAGGTTGCAGAAGTGTTGGAAGGGAGCTCAATATTATTTTCCTACAGCCTCATTGCCTGGCATTCTCTAGCTGCCTAATTATGGTTTTTCCAAGTATTTGTTTATTGATCTCACATGCAATTAATAATTTTCTTTCAATGCAAGGGCAGCGCAAAGCAGTCACATTTTTTCAGCATAAAGGGAGACTCTTTGTTTTTGCCTCTGCACCGCTCTTTTAGAGGCTATTTCAAACACTCTGATTACTGTATGGGTCGTGGATAGCGATGCAATGTCATATAATTTGTGATTGGTGAATGCAAAAATTTAGTTTTTCTTTTTTTATACATATCAAATTGGAATAGTTTTAAACTTTAAAATGATGCAATTGTTTGCAGCAGCTCAGCTCTGCTAAAAGTCCAATATGAATCTGTTGTTCTGCTGTCAGGGTATTTTTTGTTTTGTTTAAATGATAAGCTCTCCTGTAATTAAAACTGGTCAGGTACTAGAGCGATCATCAGAAGTGCTTCTGAAGACCACCACCCACTGGTCTGTCAGCTCACACTAGTTAGATGTCAGCTCATTTTACACAAATCACTCGCTTTGTTTACTCAGATTTACAAACTGTAGACTTTGAATAAAGATAATGGTTGTTTAAATGCTGGTGTTTGTCACTTTTTCATGATGTCAGTGTCTTTTCTCAGTGTCAGCGTACTGTGTGGACAGTGTGCATGGTTATATATGGATATAAAATGGTTATTATGCAAAGATCTTTTGTAATTGCTCTATAATTAGCCTTTAGTCTTTATCCAGTATTACTGAGGTCTGAGTGTTAAACAACACACGCCTATTATGTACACATTCCTAACTGGGTGCGGTGATGCTGTGCAACCCTAGAGGCTTGATCCTATGAGAGTCATCCCTACCAATCATTTTACCGTACAAGTCAAACGGGTTTTTGTTATGTTAACAGCCTGCATGGCAACAGTTGCTTGAGCTGAAGAATGCTGAACCTGAACAACAGTACTGTATTCAAGCTTATGAGTTGCACCTACACAGAAGTTACATTTCAGACAATACAAATGAAGATTTATTTCATACTTTAATGCCCAGTTGTATTTAAGATTTAAGGTATACATCTTTACTTTAACACATTAGGAAACAACTAAAATACTTGACTAGATAGAGGTTGCATTTGTGAAAATCATGATTTCATAAACGTTCGTCATGAGGATCATGTGTGAAGCAGAGCATGAGACTAATCATTTAGTCATCCAGTAGTTTTTACACATTTGTTCCACTACGGGGTGCCAAACCCAACAAAGACTGCCATCTTCAGTATTTGGTCTCTGGCATCCCCTAGCAAGAAAATAAGATAGTGTCATACTGCAGTCAGAAACACAGATCATTGAAACAAAGACAACAAGAGTGTGAAAGTGGAATGAAATGCTACAAACCCAGAGGGTGTTTTCACAATTTGTACTGCTATAAATACATTTTTATCAATGATACATGACTGTATATACTGTTCCAACTCTATAATGTTGTCTAAATAATGTTATGTATCATTATTTGATGAGGAGTCCAGAGACCACTGAGCACAAACATTTAGGAATATAGAAAATGAGTCATTGGTTATAAATTTAATTACAAACAAAAATGAGCATTTATTAGTATTCTGGATTGAATGATTGTAATACTGGTTAAATGAGTTTTCTTAACGTAAATTCACAATGATCCACACTGTATTTTCTACTTGTTAATGGACAGTTCAGTATAATACACTGTGACTAGGTGGGTCTTTGCTGCTGGCTCTGGCCCTTAGTGATAACTCACAGCAGCCTGCTTGTTGTAATGCTGATAGAGACCATCTGTGCTGCCTTAGTTAGACCTCCAGTTAGAGGTTTGAAATTGTGCAGTGCCTATAAAAAGTATTCAAGTTGGGCCTTCCAGTTACAGATGTATTTATACTACAATCAGTGGAAAGATTTCCAGTGATGATTAAAGGGTGGCCTATTAAAGGGGGTGCATACTTTTACATTTATTTTGTATCTTTTTTCACATCTAGAGTCTTTTTATGTTGATTGATGTGAAAAAAGCCACGTTAAATCTATTCTGATTCAATGTTGTATGGCAATAAAACATGAAAACTTGCAATGAATGAAACAGACCTTACATCCTTTTGCCGTTTTCCTAATATGTATCACATTTCATCCACATGCCTAACGCTGTTAGCTGCCTTATGCTCTATCCTCTTAAGCTGGATTGCTATACGGTACCCTACAAATTAAATGGTTTGTTATTTCACACATTTTTCAAATGTTGCACTCTGTAAAACAAGATTTCAAACTGTCTTTGTATCTCAATTTGCCTGCTTCACATACCATAAAATTCCCCAAATAATGTAAAGACTAAAAATTACAAAGATGTCTGTGTATGAACATGTCTATATGAAGACTGGGAGTGTCTGTATATGGTATGTTGAGGCACATGGACACACAAGATAGCTTCCAAAACTGGTGATAACAGGCTTGTGCCACAAGTGTCTTTAGCTGGGGCCCAATGTCCCTCACTATGTGGTGCATGTAGGTTTTTTTTCTCTGTGTCGTAAGAATTATCATGGTGGTGCACTCCAGCATGTGGACCATGAGGTTGACATTGCTTTTTGGTACAGACATTGTCCCCCAGACTGTAACTTTTAAAAATCTTTAGTTTGTCCAATACTTTGGTTTGCAACCAGATACCTGCATTAGCCTCCGCTGTACTTTGTGTTTAGTGTTAATTAGCAAATGCTAGCATGCTCATATAAGATGATGACCACAGAAAACGTACTTCTTGAACACCAGCATGTTACCATTGATCACTGCACAATAGACTTCTTCTTGTGAAATTACCCAGTAAAGCATCCATGTAGCCTAATTACTGACACATCACTGGGTCATGTGGCCTTGTTGAAACTGGAGGCTGAAATCAATTATCAGGGCAGTTGTGTTTGATTTCAAAGACAGAATTGAAGCTTTTGTCTGTAAGAATCACAGCCTCTGGAGATCATCCTGTACATGTCTGTCTGATGGTGGCTTTCCATGAACTGTCATTAACCTCTGAGGAAACCAGATCACACTGACCCACTGACCAAGATGATTAACCCTTAGATGCATAAATGGGTCACATTTCATAATTAGTTCATCAATGTATTCCTTAAAAATCTTGTTGATGATTTCCCCTGTTCGTTTTTTTATTCTTCTCTTTTACTTCAGAGTAGATCAGAGAATTCTGACAACTTATTTTATTAAAAGTATTTTTCCATTTTCATTATTTTACTGGTTCACTTCCTCTTGTGAAAGTGCACGAACCAATTGAAAGGTGTTGTTAACCTCAGCTCTAAAATTATTGGCAAACATAAAGATCCCTTGAGCAGCTTAGCAAATCCTCAACTTTTCTCTTTCTTTTAATCTATACACTCCTGTATTTTGTATCTTTGGATTATTTTTGTGCATCTGCTTTAACTGTTTGTGTGTCGCCTCGAATTTCCCCTTGAGGGATGAATTAAAAGCAATTTGAATTTCACTGAACTCAGTCATGACTCCAATGAATAATCTTTTAGTTTTAGGTGGTTTTTTGTGATAATAATCGGTGTCAACCTCTGATGTTTTCCTCTCTCCCCAGTCTGTGTTGCATCCTTGTGTCAGTGTCTGTTATCAGACTGGGTTGGACCCCTAGCATCCACTTCCAGTCAGCTGCAGAAGATTTCTAACCCTGTCGCTACCGCTTCACACAAACTAAGTAAGCTTTAAGGCTGCAATGAAAAAGCTGGGTTTAATGTGTTTATCTCATCACTTTCCTCAAGATAATCAAGTGTAGAGGAACTACCCCCCCATCACAAGGGAATCCCCAGTACGTAAACAAGATGACGTACCAAGATGTGTTCCTTCTGATACTATATGTTGCCCCCTTTTCTACCCTCTTTACCCCCTGTGTGCCCCTCAGTTAGGATGACTTTAGGCTTGCTGGTCCAAACAAGACAGGTTCCTCTTACTGCCCCGGACCAAGCTCAGACTTGGTTCAAGGTTGGGAGGGCGGAGTAGGGTTGGGATATCCCTGCCGCAAGGTGTCCCTGACCGATAGGGCTGCTTCTCTGTTACACAGGCCTTATCTCCATTACCCCCCCGCCAGGTTACTCAGCAACCAGGGGGGTTGTGGGGTACATCACTTCTCTGGGACGACGTAGTTTCAAATGGGTGTTCCCGCTCCTCTCGTTCTTTCTCTGTACTCATCTTTTGGTTTGTCCTGGCTCACTTTATCACCGGGCTCGTCTAGGCTGACAGAGGTTGTCCTGTTTCCAGTGCTGGAGACCAGGTGGGAGTACCTGCATGCAGGTAAGGGTGTGGCCTTCTCTGGACAGGGGTCAGACATACTTTGTGGTACTGCTGGACTAGAGTGTAGTGGTCAAACAGGAGGGATATCTTAAGGTTCCCTGAGGAGAGGAGCTTATTCCAACTTGTTATGTCTCTGCCATGTTCGTAAGATAAGGGCAGGAGTTCAGTCTAAACTCTTTTCTTGAGCTGAAATAATTTTTCTAGGAAAATAATATTAACCTTTTCAATCAAAGATGTTTGTTGTGCATCAAGACAATTCAAAGATTTTATACTCATTTGTGGTCAAGGTCAAGTTGAATTATTATCTTCAGTTAGTGAAAGCCATTGAGGATTTTCATCAGCTGTTGCAGTTTTAGAAATATGTAACCTACTTATTTTGCCTTTTTTTAAAAAAAATGTATTTATATTCTTACCACTAAATGGCAATGTCTTGTTAATATGTGGTGCCATAACATGCTCAGCTATACTGGCCATATTGTAGATTTGTTTCTTTCAGGTATTACTATCAAACATTTCTTATCAGTTTTGTACATGTCTGAAATGAAGCTGTAAAAACTGGCCCTTCATCCACTAAGAAAAAATATTTAATTGCAATTGTACAAAGAAAAGGTTTGTTCAGTTGTTTGTTAAATCCACAAAAAAATATCACATAGTGTTACATTATAAGATTGTGGTGAATTTTCAGTATTTCTGTCTAAATTACTTTTGTATTACTTGATATTACAGTAGCGGCATTTCAAGCATTTCACTGTACTGTTACTGAGGAGAACAGAGAAGTCTGGTTAAAGAAGGGTGTAACCCAGAGATAAGGCTATGTACGTCTTCTATTTAAACTACAACGCAGTTCACATTCTTAACGGCTAATTGACTATCTGTCCTGACCCGTGGATCTGCAAGCAGACTCAGAGCAGCTGTGTGATGGTAGATGGCGGTATCTTAACCAAAGCTGCCTAAAAGCAAGTCTTATTGGTTTCTGTAAAGTAACAAACATGTTCCTTAATAGTAAAAACACCTTGCCAAGTTTGCTACAGAATAATGGTACGTTTGCAATGATTGCTATAAGAATATAATATATATTTATAGCAGATTCTGTGCTTTGGATTCTGTAGGTGCACCTGCCTTAAAAGTCAAAACCCACTACTCAATATCACCAGCTAAAAAAATGAACATAAGTTTAATGTTTTAATGCTTTGGTCATTTCTAATTGTGTTGCATTTCTTATATAATAATAGTGTTATATATGTTTTTTATGCTCATCCACTCATTTTCTGTCTTAGGGAATG